CTGCTTCTCCCTCTGACCCTCCTCCCTCTCGTGCTCTCTGTCTCTCATGCTCTCTCTCACAAAAAAAAAAAAAAAAAAAAGTGTATGCTTTGCATGGGATTACTGGTCTGTCCTACGTCTTCCCGACTACATTTTAAGTTCCACGAGGCAGGGGCTGAGCTGATTCTGAATCACCGTGAGCACACTGGAGGTAGCTGCTATTGGATCTGTTCTGTGAACGGGTACTCAGACGGACAAAGAAGGTCTGAGAAGTCTGGCACCCTCCAAGGAAGAATGCGCAGCTGAATAAAATATCCTATAAACAGGATTTCAGTGATCAAGGTGCTAAGGAGACACTGACGCAATCTAACGAGACTGAAAACAGAAGGGATCATCATGCCTATGGCTGGCCCTTGCCACCTCCACTCCCAGCCTCAAGGTCTGTTTCCTAGCCAGTTATCAAAGTCAGTATGTGGGTGTCTGAACAGAGAAGAAGGACGTTAAGGAAACAAAAGTGTTAGGAAATAAAGGGTACATACTTTATCGCTGATTGGGCTCAACACATACCTTCTTCGGTTCACAGACATTGGCTTTGATGTAACCTTTGGGGAGGTGCCATCATACAGTCTACCCACCGACCTCAGGCCAACAAGCCAGCCCCACAGAAAGATGGGATGACCCTTCCAGGTCTCTGGGACCACCTCACACTGCTTCAGCACTGTAGAAACTGTATCCTAGCGCCCTAAAGTGTCATGGACCCAAGAAAAGGGAAGGGAGATCGCTAAAGACTGTAGCAGGACATTACAGCGCCACAAATGTTTTCCTTGCGTGTAGTTTAATTAAGTCTGTAAGTACAGTTTTCCTCAAATCTTTCAGGCAGATTTACATTTCAGCAGTCTTTACCATATGCCCGGTAATATGTGTATGTGCAAATGTTTATTTTTATTTTAGAACGTTCCATAACAAAACAATGTTGGTCCATAGCACACTGTCAAAGCATGGAACATCTTTATCATGTAGTCCATTTCAGGCCTGCTGTGAGACAGGTTTTAGCAGAGACACTGGGAAGAGCAATCTGAAGTACAAACTGAAGTGGTGTCTCAGAAAGGACAGTTAAATATTCCTAAACTGTCCATGTCAGCAGTGATTTGACAGCAGAGATGCTCTCGGGTCCTTCCTTCCCAACGCTTTTGGTATCCTTCCTAAATTAGCATCTCATCCAAGGCAGGGGCCACGTTCTGAATGCAAAGCTCCTCCTGTCCTTCTCTACCGCTGGAGTCAGAAGTTTGCTTGTAAATTCTTTTCCTTTTAAGATTTTACTTATTTATTTTAGAGAGAGAGCGCACAAGCACGAATGGGGGGAGAGGCAGAGGGAGAGGGACAAGCAGACTCTGAGCTGAGCGTGGAGCCCGGGGCGGGGCTCGATCCCACGACCCTGAGATCATGCCCTGAGCCGAAACCAAGGGTTGGACGCTTAAGCAACTGCGCCACCCAGGTGCCCCATAAATTCTTAAACATAAAATGGTTATGGTACAGGAAGAGATAATGTATGTTGAAATATTTAGAAAAAAGGAAAAAGTAATATACAGTTTTAAGCATAATTGTTTTATAATCAGAAAATGAAGTCTACAATTCATTTTACTTTTTTCTTACACTTAAGTGGAAAGTGGGCTTTTTTTTTTTTTGGATAGAAGTTTCTTTCCTACAGGACTCATTGTATGGAGATAACCTATTAGTTAAGTTAAAATATCATAAATATCTCACTCAATCTTTATAAATCCAGAGTTGGCAATGTGGAATTTTTATTTTTTTATTTTTTAGTTAATTTATTTTTTTAAACACGTAATATCATCTATTAGTAGTCTTTGTTTTTCATAACTTACTATTCTTAATTATTACCTTAAGGTTTTAAAGATTATTATTTTCAACCTCTGAAATTTTTCCCTCTGAGCCAACATACAAATGTTTTTGAAAAGTTATAATTTGAGTTCCACCTGTTAACTTGACAGTAGGCCGATTCAAAAATGCTTTTCTTATGATTAAGACAAAACAAAACACAACACCGGGGTAGATTATGGGGAAAACCCCCATAACGCTGGCTGCCTTCTGAGACTCAAAGCCAATAACACAAGGACATCAAAATGCAGGCTTTGCACTCCCCCTTCCTGTTAGTTCTGCTTAACCCGCCCTAGAGCATTTTTCATTTCATCTTGGTTGTTGCAAAAGCGAAACATGTCTACAGAGAAGGTAACAGCGAATATCGCCCTTTCTTCCTCTGAAAAGGAAAATGCTGGTTATGCTAGAGCTCCACATGAATTTTACAAACATTTACTGGAACCACCAACCCTTCAAACCTTCAGCTCTATCTTGTTTAAACCAGTGAATGGATAATTAATAGCAGCCTCCTTTTGGGGTTTTGACTAGATTGCCAGATTCTGCACATAGAGTCTTCTTCCCTCCAACTTGCTTTTCCTGAGCTGTACTCTTCAATACATCGTCTTACAAAAATTAGCATGTTAATTAAGCCTTCTTGGCAAGTAATTGCATGTTAAGGTTTTTTTTTTATTTTAAACAGATCTTTTGATTCCCTATATGAATGTAAAATAAAAGTTACTACAGTGCCATTCTTACTCTTTTTTTTTTTTTTTTTTTAATGGCACAGAATTAATTTCTTCAGTAGGAAAATAAAGGCCAAGCTCTATGGACAGAAGAACATTAAGGCTAAAAAAAAAAAAAATTCCCTTACAGGCACATCACCATTTTTGTTTTTTACATATCATATGGAAATCAACACTTAATTTCAAGATGATCAGCAATCTTGTGCAGGAGGTAATTTTTCTATCTCGACTGATTCTAATGTAGGTACATATTATTAATCCAAAAGTAGCATTCCAAATATTCACATGTGCTGACATTCCTACACCTTTTCTGTTAATTTCTGACAGGTGGATTGAAACAAAGCAGGGCTGATATTACGCTAACCCATGCCCAGAGTGTAATATCTGTATTTTCAGGTAGGCAGTTTTGAAATAAGATGTTTCAGATACAACAGCCCATGAAAGATTTAGGGCAAAGGCCAAATTTGTCATTTACTCTGTGGCTGCTATTAGTTCCCATGTAAATGGAGAAGTAACTCGTTTTGAAGATCTTCTGTAAGTGCACAACGGATCAGACATTTAAACAAAGTCACTGCATGAAGGAGTTTGGACCCAGTAACACAATCACATGCTTCGTACAGAGATGCTTCTTTATAATAGCCGTTTTATTACCAGAAATCAACTTCTATGATTTACACAACGTTACTCATTTCGTTACTAGTATAATTATCAAGAAAACCCTTTCATGGATAAATTATGAAGAAAAAGTCTTATAAAACAAATAAATAAGCAAGCATTAAAGTAGAATTAATTAATTATCAAAAAACCCCAAAAACCGAAAAAAAAAAAAAAAACACAAAAAAACCAGAGCCACTTACAGGGCTTGATGGAGTCTTTGGCCAGCCTGGGCTGCTAATGCTATCGCTTTCATCTCCATGAAATGAGGAGATGCTAGCAGAGCTGGGGGACATTGGGGAAGGGACTGGCAGGTTGCCGGGGGTTGGGGGCTGAGAAATACCCTGAGAGCTGTAGCTATCCTGTGGTAGAGGAATAAAAAAAAAAAAAAAATGACAAAGGTAGGGCAAACTTTATTTAAAATAACAAAAAGCACATCCAGTTTAACAGACTAATTTTTATATATAATGGATATATATAAAGACATGGACAAACAAACACACGAAAACACACACATATAAAGGTATTAAAACAACATTCTTAATTAGTATAATTTGGTAAGTTTGCTGGATGCTGGATAAGGCTACTATGCCACCATGCTTACTTCAAGCTTACATGGAACGCTAAGCATGGGTTACCCCTTATGAAAGAAAGAAAGGAAAAAAAAAGCTGTTCACCTTATTTATCAAATAAGGCAGGAAAGCAAAATATTAAGTATGTTGTTGTTGCTGAGGCGGCCAAAACAGGAAGCTATAAACTGAAGGCAGAGAAAATGGCTGCAAGTATCAAAACCAGGCAAGACCCCTTCCTTGTCCCCACCCCCAAAGCATCTCTCTTCGGTGGGTCTTGTCCCTCCGCCCCTCACCCACCACCATGAGTTCAATGCCGTAAGAACTAGTAACTTTCAGATCCACACCATGGAGGGGGTGGGGAAAGAGAGGAGAACTACAAACGTGGTGCACGAGATGGACGCATGCAGAAGAGAAGAAACCAAATGGAAACAAAAGTGGAGGCTGACACCAGTGACTAGAACACCATGGCAGCTGCAGGAAGGCAGATCCCACACCGCGTGCAGAGGAGAAAGGAAGTACCTTCGACTTGCTCTCAGGCTGCGGAGTGCCTTCTTCTTTACCGTCGGCTTTGAGAGGTATGGGCAATTTGGATTCCCCGGGAGACATCATATCTGCAAGACCCATAGATGCTAATCGAAAACAGGAGAAAGAGTTTAGGATTATACATGTGATGCATCGGGCTGTGTTCCCGCTAACACAAGTTACTGAGTGACCCATGGGGCACTTGAATTTCCCTTGAAGGAAGAGAAGAAAAGAGAAATTGTAACTGAGGGCACACCAGTTTTCTGGAAATCTAAATAGCACGACATTCTGCCAGTCCTTTTTTAACTTAAAAAAAACAAAACAAAACACAATCATTTACTCAACACCCAAACCACTGAAAGGCAACTCATATCAATATTATTTTTTCAAAATTACTATAGCTTCACTAGAGTAGGTGACCGGTGGAAGTTAAGTCCAATGTTTCAACTGCTCATCCGGAGTGAAAGGAAATACTGGGTGTGTGTATTTTTTACATGGTGACTGGAGGATTTCATGCCTTCTTAATTTCCCAAATTTATAGAATCTACAGTTTGCAAAATCACTTGACATTTTATATTGCTTCATTTGAAAGTCTTATCTATCGCATGTGGCCTAGTCCGCAGTAATGGAAAACAGTCGGAACGAATGACTTCAAACACAATAATCAAAAGTAATTTTTGAAGGACAGGATTTCTAATTATTTTGCAATGCGGCTGGTTTCCTTTCAGTCTGGGGCTCTGTGCACATTTATCAATCCCCAGCAGCGGCTCAAATGCCCAGGTCAGATACCCACACCCGCTCAAGAGTCAACTCAACGCTCGGATTCCCAGAAAAACTCATTTTCTATCTCAAGGCTCAGAAATTCAATCAAGTTCACTTAGGATTTAGAAGGAAAGGTTCACCAAAGAACAACTGATTTATACCCATTTATTATGACTATGAATAGATATTTTGGGGTTGAAAAGGAGGGCTTGGATTTCTTTTTAAAGGAAGAACAAGGCTACAGTAGGGAATCAGTGTAGATATCCAGGGAATAACAGCTGAATTTCTACAGAACCCCACTGTGAAAACCATCTGCACAACACTGGGCTGGGAGCGGGACACCAAACAGATGTGTGAGGAGGGAGGGAAGCAGAAGAGAGCAGAGAACGGAGGGAATTAAGAGCCTTGTCAATGAGCGAAAGCCAGGAAACATTCCTATCTCAACATAAAATAAACCTGAGGTTTTATGCACAGGACCCGTTCTACATTCTGCAAACAAAAGTGCTGGTTCAACCGAGGCGGTGCGCATGTTGCATAATGTGCCAAAAAAAAAAAAAAAAAGAAAAAGAAAAAAAAAAGCAGCAGCTTTAAAAAAGGCTCCACAGATTGCCCACTACAAAATGATTATTGCACATATTCATGTATTACTATGTTTTAGAAAATAATTAGTTTTAATTACAGCAGTGAGGGAGTGAGCAGGGCTCTGGCGAATTAGCTGGCACGCTTGGTGGTGCTAATTTGCTAATATCGTTAGCATCACGGCAGGTTGAGACCAGAGGTCCTGCCAAAAACGCCGACCCCGCCGCGTGCCCAGGAGTCCGGCGGCACGCTCACTGACACCCGGGGAAGCGCCGGTCTGCACGTGCTCACTGGCGAGCGGTTCTGAGCCCGTCTGCAGCCAGCCAGCCCTTGAAGTCATCACCACGCACACAAATCATAATTGGGATGTTTTTTCCCTTTCTTTCTTTTTTTTTCCCCCCCAAATTACTTTCAATACTTAGACTTTAAGAACTGGAACAAAAAGCTTTTTCAAGTGATGCAGCTGCAAAGAAAAATCTATTGGGATCAGCTAAAAATGCTGTTATTTTGGTGAATGTGTGAAACCCCAGGAAAGCAGCTGAGAGAGACCGCCCCAGGACCGCCCCGCTCAGAGCGCTGGGCTGCTTTCGCGCAGTCTTCTCTCCCAGGATCAGTAAATCTGTACATTGAGAAACACCCTTTTTAGAAGAACAGAAGGGGGAAACAGAGCAGGACGAGCGGGGGAGGAGGAGCTTCTTTATGAAAGTCCCCACGTCCTTGCTAGTTACTCAGAGCTGTCACCTAGGAACGACGGCCACACAACCCCGAGAACGTGGCAAAGTCACGGACACGTGGCTTCTGCAAAGGCCTGCTTCTTCAAAGGTTATAATGAATAGTTCTGTTAGCATTTGGCACAAATTATGCCTGAATATTACTGTTGAGAGACAGAAAATACTAATATTCGTCTTCATACATTCACTGTGTTAACATACCCCAAAACAATTTTTAAGCATAAAGAAGTAGGCTAAGATGCATTATTATAATGAATGATAATAATTTATACTGATTTAAAAATCAGACTCAGATGAATTTACGCATATCTGTTGGTTTGAGATTCCCCAAATTTCTTCACTCTCTATTATATATTTTTAAATGGGCATTTAGGGTATGCAGATATAAAAATGGTCAAAAGTGGCAATGCTTTATGATTTTTGAGAGATAAATAAGGATAGGATTGAGAGTAATAGTTTTATTTAGTACTCCTGCCTTACACTGCAAATTTTATTTTACTAAATGGATCACAAGGTCTTTCCTTACTGTGGCTTTTACTATTCCTTTTGTTGAAATGCTTATTTTTGACTTCTTACCAGAATTCTCAATGAATCACTGCAAAGAGCTATAGGCCTCCCTGGACAATGACAGTCCAGGAGCACTATTTTTTTTTCTCCTTTCCCAGAAGAGAAAGACCACCACTGTGGTAAGGATGTGTTAAATCAAGGCCCTGTTCTTTCTCCTACTGACATCAGCAATCCAGTATCTAAAGTTCAGACATAAAAAGGGGCAGTAAAGAACTCGGGCCTGCAGAAAGTGCCGTGTGAGTACTGTAAATACATTTCAGGCGCTAGCCTCTGGCTTTACCCCTGAAATTTAAGAGTTAGAATGATTTCCTAAAGTAAGTGTGGGTCAAAGTCCTAAGGCAGCTACTCCACCCCAGATTTAATATCTTGAAAAGGAACATAAGAGCATATGGTGTGAGCAAAACTGAACTCAAACATTCACTCTTACTCGCTCAGCTTTCTTTACTTAGTCTCCCTATAAGGCGACAAAGTCACTCCCAGACGATGGAGAAATGGGACCAGAAACACACATACGGTTTGTTCTTTTCACGGTAAACAATACAGCATACGGCCAAAATCTTTTATTCCTTGTTTCTGAAAACACAGGAGGGCCTATCTATGTGTATACATCTGTAGATAGTCATGACTCTTTTTATATGTGGCACATACATCAAGAGCACCGTGAACATTAACACGTATGAAGGGTATGAGAGAAGGAAGCTCAGGAGAAACATTTCTCTCTCTTGGACCGGATCAGCAAGGCCTTGAAAGAACCTTCTGATACCTCTCTGTGCTGACATACCTCCACAGGGGCAGGGCAAGGGAGATGCACAACACCGTAATTTCCATCCACGCCCTCTCTCTCCGTTATAGGCACCCCAAGGAAACATGCAACCTGAGCAAACCCAGTATGCTCGCTATGCTCTCCAGAAAGCCCCAGCCCCAGACCAAGTCCACAGCTACCAACTGACTTGGCAAAATCCCAGTATACCTTCTTCCCCCTTGAAGAGATATGGTTTTCATCATTTATTACACCTTTTATGTCTTTGGGGGAGGAGGGAGGACAGCAATTCACCTAAGATCATTAACTCCAAGCAAGCAACCAAACAAAATACCTAACGATCTTATAAACTGCTTAGACAACCAACCACTAGCAATGGTGCTAAACACCCAAAACTTCCGGGGCGCCTGGGTGGCTCAGTCGTTAAGCGTCTGCCTTCGGCTCAGGTCATGATCCCAGCGTCCTGGGATCGAGCCCCGCATCAGGCTCTCTGCTCGGCGGGAAGCCTGCTTCTCGCTCTCCCACTCCCCCTGCTTGTGTTCCCCCTTTCGCTGTGTTTCTCTCTGTCAAATAAATAAAATCTTTAAAAAAAAAAGACCCAAAACTTCCTTAGGGAAGGATCCTAAAGCCTCAAGACAGAAAACACCTATCCATCTGGTAGATTTATATGCTAGCCTTTTTTTTTTTTAATGGTGCTAGATCTTTTTTTTTTTCTTCAAGATCCTCTTCTTTTTTTATTTTATTATGTTATGTTAATCACCATACATTGTATCATTAGTTTTTGATGTAGTGTTCCATGATTCACTGTTTGCGTATAACACCCAGTGCTCCATTCAATACGTGCCCTCTTTTGTAAATTTTTTTTTAAATTCAAGACAGCAAATTATCTGGTAAATAGCTAATGCCACACAAAGCAGGCAGGGGTTCTGCCAGGAGACTGCTGAGCAAAATATCTCTAAATCGGTGGTTCTTAAGCTTAAGCATGCACTTATGAAAACTACCTGAGGAGTCTGTTAGGAACATCCTCAGAAATTCTGACTGGGGCCCAGAAATCTGTAGTTTTAACAAGCATTCCAGGTGACACGTGGTTCTCGATTTTTGAGAACACTGAAGGAAGCCGTCGATCCTGTGGTAGTGAGCTTGCCTTTTTTCCTCTGTAAGGGCTAATGGAGCTAGTACGCCCCATCCTGGTAGGACATCAATAGGACACTGCCTTTGGGATGGCGCTAGGTTGGCAGAAAGATCTGGAATCTGACAGGGCTCTTGTATAAGAGGAAGGCCTGACGACAGCAGTACATGGCTGATCATTTACTATCTGTAGGTTATCCGGATGGAAATGCCCTACATTTTGCAGAGTGGCTTCCCGTGAGGCAAACTTAGAACCACAGATGGTAGATATATTTTCTGGAATTTAGATGTCTTCTTTAAGATGATGGTTTATATAAAGACAAGTATATGACTAATGAATGTTATAAAAGGAAACACAAAGAAGTATAACATAGCTAATAACACGAGTATTATAAAAGGGGGTATTTAACAAGGCTATAAATGACTTATTATTTTGCCCATCGTGTTATGTCATGCTAATCTTTTAATGCAAATAATTTTTTTGAAAAAAGCTCCTTTAGAGGGAAAAAAAATCCCCCCCACTGCTTAGCACCCCACTTCCCCTGCATTTTAAAATGAAGAAATAGTTGTCACATTCATACTCACACTGACTCCATTTGAATAATTACTTGCTCACTGGAGCCTATAACAATTTGTCACTACACAGGAAGACACTTTTTGGCCCCGTACCCCGTCTATATCACAATTGTCTGAACTCCGCAAAGAGGATGCTGGAAGGCCAGCTGCACAAGCTGCTAACGGAGGTTCAGCAAATCCCACCCCCAGCCCTGGACATCATGGGTATTATCTTCACTTTCTCCAAAAGTGCCCTCACACAGAGACGATGCTTTGCCATTATCACTGGTAACTGATCTGCATGGGCCCAAACCAAGTAGACTGATGTGATGACGATCAAAGCCATTTCTGGCCCAACTCTAGAAAAAGTCAAGAGTACACCTTCAGACCAAAACTCGTCAGGAGCCACTCTATAACTTTATGGGTTCCTCTGTCATTCCCGTTTCCCTCGGAGACTGTAACACAGGGATAGCAGCTTGATGTGTGCCTGTCAATAGATACACAGTACATGCTAAATCATCAATATTCTTGGATGTGCTAGCTAGATGACTACTTTCTATCAGGTAGCATTTGACTTATAGAGCTGGAATAAAATCACCTAAATGTGCAGAGGAAAATTTGATAAACGTTTAAATTATCAAAAATTCAGTGTTTCAAAATACACAATGCAATAAAAAAAAAATCCTACTAGCCCATACAAAAGACTGTGAGGATAAACAGCCTTTCATTGAACAGGTTTCCTCTGTATGAAATAACGAAGAGCTGAATTATCTGAATAATAATAATAATAAAAAGAAACCCTCTCTGCGAATCTCCATTAAACTGGTTATTCCTTAGGAACACATAAATCTTCTTAGGCAGGGCATGTGGTGCCATCTCTTTGTGGTGGGTTATTTTTGTGGTTCTGGGGTCCAAAGGAAAAAGGGAAAAATGAGTATTGCTAACAGTAGGTGAATATTTATTGTGTAGTTTCAATGCTCTGAAGTAATTTTATTTCAGCAAGCCAGACAAAACACATAATGTCATAACCCAAATACCCTATTACCTGGAATAGTGCTGAGAAGGGGAGGGGAAGTTTCTGGGTAACAGACTGGTTAAGAGCTTTCCCCTTTCATCTCAAGTTTAAAAACACCCACGTCGCTGGGATTAATGACCAATATCAGGAAGGGCTATTCTATTTATTTGAAAACCTTCCATTTCGCCACTCTTTCTTCCTCTTCCACATATTTTTAAAGAGACGCAATCAGGGAATGGCACTGTTAAATTAGACCCTGGAAACCAGCAACTCAGAAGCTCAGAGAGGATGCAAGCCCAGCCTCTACCAACAGCTCCTGGGGTGGCCTTTCAAAGACGGACAGGTCAGAGGGGTGGCGAAAGGCAGAGGAGATGAGAAAAGGTACTAGGAGAGCGTCAAGCCTCTAACTCCATGGCGTTTCCCTAACACATGGTTAAACATCGCAGGACACACACAACTGCCACACGTGCTCTGCATTCACCAAAGGACAGCATCCTACCCGAGACAGGGCCCCCCCAACAGGGGCTGGAAGTTCAGGTCAGTTGCGACCCACAGCCTTTTCTCATCTAAAGAGCAGCGCCCCTCAACTGCCGGGTAGTGCGGGGCTTGAGGAGATGGCTCAGGGTCTAAGCAATCTGAAAACTCTTTGCACAGGTGTCGACATTTTGGTGTTTCCACAAACTGATACTCTTACTGCACCGATCAGATGGGATTCGGTAGGAATACAGTTGTTGACGTCACTAAGTGGGTTGGAAAAGTTACACACGAGGGAAAATCTAAAATAGTTCATTAAAAAAATAATATAGAATTTCTCACTACAGACAATCTGCAGACAGCACTTCTGAACAACTACTTCCGGGTATATATTTCAAGGTGAAAAAGTACTTCAATCACCTCCCCTGAAACATGAAGTGTTCATCTCCACCACTACTGAATGGCGCATCGATTTTGTCGGGGGATCTTCCAATACTTCGAATGGTGCCGAAAGAGAAAAAGAGCTTAGTGTATACATCTAGCAAGCAGTCCCCAGAGTCCCGTGGAATGTGCCCACACGTTACAAAAACACAGAGGGCATTCAAATCATTTACACAAAATATAATGTGAGCCTCACGTCTTGAAACAGTTACATGGATTGAACAGGTTTCCAGGCAGCAGAAAAGTGGAGTGTGTCCCCTTTTCACCCAATGATCCCAGTGCTTGGGTTGCTCACCGGTGCAGGCCTAAGGGGGGCAGAGGGGGAGGGGAGGGCAGCTCTCAGAGTGCGGAGCTGCCGTGGTTACCTGCTGAGCTGTTCACCATATTGGGCGTCATGCTGTAGGGGGGTGCCTGGGTGTTCATCAGCCCAGAGCTGTTGTTCACGGGCTGGCTGTAGGGAGAGCTGGAAGCCATAAGTCCACTCTGATTCATGCCCGGAAAAGTGCCTTGCCTGTAGGAAGAGAAAGCACATGCATACATATACTGGCCATGGACACGGCGGCACGTACGGGTGGCACGTTACCCGGGGAGCCATTTCTCATGATGCATCTATGCAAGGGGCGGGGCTCCTATTTTTCATGTTCGCTTAAAATAACTTATTTCCCGGAAAGAGAGGCTGAACTATTGCTAAGTAATTACTTAATCCACTGTGTAAAAATTCCAAATAATATAAATTCCACAAATAAATTATACATTTTGAATCATGTCAAGTGTTCCAGGTTATGATTTATACAGAGGAATATAAGCAAGAAAGGGGGAACTTGAAATAAGAACAGGAATTACAAAAGCAAGCAAAATTAATTTCTAATGTTTAAAAAGATCTGACTCTGTGAGCATTACTTAGTGTCCTCGTATCAAAAACCAGAAGTCAAGGAATGAAAATCAAATCGGCAGTGTGAGAATGTTATTTAAAATTTTTTTCTTTAATCTAAATGTTCTGATAGAATGAATATTGTTTCTAGGAAGAAGTCACTGCGGCTGAGGTCGGAGAGGTTGCTGCCTATGTTCTCCTCTAGGATTCTAAAGCCCTTCAACCCTGTTATTTGGCATTCTGAAATTAGGTACTATTGCGAACACACCAATATCCCCATATTAACTTTACACAGTAAACACCAGACTTCCACTTCTTTTTGTAGGCTTTCCTGGGACAGGAAGGAAGGGAGCTGAGACTGGCTGACAGTATCCCTAAAAGGCCCTGGGGTCATCCCTCCCCGACTGTGATGCAGACCCATGAACTTAAATTTTCAGTGACTTAAGTTTTGCTAGTTTTTTATGTGTGCTCTGTGAAAGACAAACTTCTCACTGTTGCAAGGGGAGGAGGTTATTTCTTAATCTGAAAGGGACATGTGTGGCGCAAAGGCATTTCTCTAACAGCTGGAAATGAGACCGGGGAGGAGGAGGTTGAAACTGAGCAGTGCTTTCATTCTTGTGGGAGAATTACCAGGTAGAGCGAAAGATGAGGGCAATGTGGCAAAATCTGGGAGAGCCTCCACTGTTGTACTCAAGTGGCTCTTATGTAAATAGTATACCTTGAGAAAACTTTCCAAACTTTTGGCTACTAGTGTTTCCTCTTAGGAGTAAAACTAATAGGAAGAGAAAAAATCCACACTTGGCTTATCTGTTCCAAATGAATTATGATTACAAGCCATGCCCTCCGCCTCTATTAAGCAGTCATCTGATGACTTTTTATGCATAATGGTAAACTATTTTTAAAGAGATTCTTTAAAAGATTAACATAAGTCATTTTAAGAAAAAACCCATCAACTTTTTTCAAAGAAATGGAACAAATAATCCTAAAATATGTATGGAACCAGAAAAGACCCCGAATAGCCAGAGAAATGTTGAAAAAGAAAAGCAAAGCTGGCGGCATCACAATTCCGGACTTCAAGCTCTATTACAAAGCTGTCATCATCAAGACAGTATGGTACTGACACAAAAACAGACACATAGATCAGAATAGACACATAGATCAGGAACAGAATAGAGAGTCCAGAAATGGACCCTCAACTCTATGGTCAACTAATCTTCGACAAAGCAGGAAAGAATGTCCAATGGAAAAAAGACAGT